AGAAGAAAAGCTGTTCCTCTGAAGAGTCTGGAGACCTCTGGAAGTCACCATCACCCACAGCAACCGGGCTGGGAGAAAACAGCAGCGATCTGAGCATTAGAAACCCTGGCTCCGAGTGTGGGCCCCACTGTTTACCAGCTTTGTCACCTCAGGCAAGTCATGTAGCATCGCAGGGTCACAGTTCTTTCTCTTTCCAAATACCATCTATCCTACCTATCTAAAAGAGCTGTTGTAAAGAAAAAATGATATATTTATGGGAAAGTACTTCTTAATTGCTAAAATCATAATTATCTTACACGGGCACAGGTACCAACATAAATAAATGAAATAGGCTGGGCGTAAGAAAAACAGGGCAGCAGTGTATGTCATGTCAAAAGGCACTGGGTTTCGGGAGACGACAGGCGCAGCAGAGACTATGACAAAGCAGAGAGTCCAGTATCTAAAGCTGGTTGCTGCTCTCCAGGAATGAGGGGAACCATGCATAATCAGAGCTTCTGCTTTCCTAAGAGAAACTAGAGAGCGAGCTAGCTTCATTTTGTGTGTGCATGAAAACTACCTATTATTTAAATCTCAGCAACTGTTTCAACAACTTTAAAAACCTGATGGGGGCCATCTCTGAAAGGCCACACATGGCTGAGAGCCAAATTTGATCCCAAGGTGACTGTTTGTGGCTTCTGATTTACACACATTTCCTACTGTTCCTGTGTTCAGTGGGATACATGTAGGGCCGAGGCCCCTACCATCTCTTCTTAGGGTCCTTCCCAAAGACCTTCCCTAAGGGCTACTGATCCGGATGTGTCCTGACAGCGCTAAGATTTTCCACAGAGTTCTTCATGCACCTTCACGTGTGGACACTGTAAATAACTCTTCTCATGAGAAGTTAACTAGGCCTTGAACCAATCCAGCAGGGTCGCCATCTGGTAGTCCTCAGAAACAGTGAATTGTCAGCACTGTAAACATTTTAGACTTCAGGGAAGACACTGACTTTTTCTAAATTAATCACCTCTGCCAGTCAAGATTTGCAGTATGGGTTCAAGAACAAGGCGTTCATTTAACAACAATAACAAAAACAGTGAGGATGAAAACCGGACGGTCATCATAATGAAAGGCCTAAAAGCAAACTGTGACTTCCCTAATAAGGCGAGGACCAAAGTTGGCTCCCTGGCGGTCGAGCGCCAATACGATTAATCAGTCTGTTTTCAGTTTTCTCACGACAGCAATATTAACAGTTTGCTTTATTCTGTTTATATGGTGCTGACAAGTCTTTAGCATGTTGGGCCTACTTGCTGGAGATTAATGGCTACTCTTATACTGAGGTAAAAACCAGGCAAGGAGAGAATGCCTTTTACGACTAGATAAGAACCGGATTCTCTTTGCTCTTTTTTGTTCCTCTGCTGCCTATCAACTCCTCCCCCTTTGAATTTCTATCATGAATATCTAGGTTCTTCTCACTGTTTAAACTTCCCCGCTTTTGTTGTATCCCCAGATGAAACAAAGGGAACCTTGGATATTGCTTTCAGACGAGCTTCTCTCTAAACGTACTGCTGGCTAATTTTGTTTTTAAAAAGTGAGATTCTATGTAAAAGTGAAAGATCGGTAAGAGATGGCCTCTGCTGACAGGATATTAGCATATTAGGTGGGCAATGGTTCTCCTTTGTATCTGTGGTTATTTTTGTAGACACTGAAGAAGGCAGAATTGATACTAAGTATGGCCCAGCTGTAAGAAGTACAGACAGCCCAGAAAAATCTTAGACATCTTTTACTAAACAGTCATATTTCAAAATAAATTTAAAAATATTTGAAATAGGGCTGGCCGAGTGGCGCGTTGGTTAGGAGTTGGCTTGAGACGCCAGCTCTGAGCAGCAGGGCCCCGGTTCAGATCCCACATGGGCCAGTGATGCTGCGCCCTCTACAGCTAAGATGGTGAACAACAGCTCGACC